CCCCAGGCACAACTGACATCACAATGGCTTGGTTACGGTGTCACATCACCTCACTGCTCCGGCACTGTAAACTCCTGCAGCTTCCAGGCCCTTGATGAATACCTGGATGGAAGGGGAGCCGGAGAAGCAGAGTGGATGGCTGCCCATCTTCATGCAGGACAGGAGCACAGCGCCACTTCCCGTGATGGCAGAAGAGGAAGGCATGTGCCAGGAGGCGGCAGAGGAGGGGGAACAAAATCTCACCTCTCCCGAGAGTGCCATTGCCCTCGCTTCCCTTGTCAAGGCCATGCAGGGCTTGGTTCTGTGCCCACCAGGGGATGTCGTGCAGCCCAGGGATATCGGCATGCCAGGGAGCAGCCGGAGCAGTGAGGGAGGTGGCTGCCCACCTTCACATGGGACAGCAAAGAGACGCTTCCCACAGCCACCAAAGAAGAGGTCATCTCCCCTGGGCCTGAAACATGGCAATCGACGGTGCAGAAGGAGGAGGAAAAGGAGGAGGAGGAGGAGGACAAAGAGGGGGAAGAGGAGGAGCATCAGCCCTTGCACCCTGAGAACCATTGCCAACACTCGAGCGATGACATCCAGCGCACAGCTCTGGGAGCACCGGCGGCCCAACCTCCGCACCTTCGTCACTGAAAAATAAACGACGAGACAAGGATAAAAATGCTGTCATCCTCTCTTATTTGGCACTTTGGTGACAGCATCTGTGCTCCTGTGACTCCTTAAGTAGGAGGCTTTTTCTGGAAACTTCCTGTTTCCATGTCCACATACTGCTTTGCTGGTGCCACCTCAAGTTCTGGGGTTTTTTAGGCTGTAACATCAACAATTTGAGACTACCTTTTTTAAATTCAGTAAAATTATAATAGTGAAGGCATTGAGCCCTAGGAATTTCTTCTTTCCAAATGTGCCAGGTAATATTATGGAGGTCATTCTAGGAGTTAGTGTAGATAATGCAGCCATTGGTCATAGCCAACACAGGATCACATGGGGAAGGTGACTATAGCATCTCAGGAGTGCCCGGCCAGCACCCTACAATTGGTCCAGCCCCCACTCAGATGGGAGTCCCAGCCTCCACTCCTGGCCATCCTGCTGGCTCACTCATTCCATCTCCTGGCATCAACAAATTATTTTGCTGACTACCACAGGTGGTATGAGCTTTTCCTTCCCATCCCCTGCCTCCACCCCTCCTGAAGGGGTGCCAGCTCCCCTGCTCTGAGCCTCTAGAAAAGGGAATTGAGTTGGCTTCCACCAGGCTGCTGTGCTAAGGTGACAGTTGTCCCTCAGAGGGCGACATCCCTGGAGCCTGGAGATGGGGTTTCTTCAGTCTGAGGACGAGAAGGTCCCCTGATGAATGAGTGAAGGTGAAGTGAGACCCTCTGCAGCCTTGCACGAAGAATAGTATCAGATCCAGCCAAGAATGTAGACAGCTGTTCCTTTGAGAAGCAGCAGACAGCAGTTCTGCCAGGAAGAAGTCCTGGCCTTTAGCATGAAGGGCCCTTCTAGCTGCTTCACAAGGAGTTATTTTCAAGTAGGGAAATAAACAAAAAAATCCCAAACCAATAAACCAAGAAAACAACAGTAAAAATGCTTTATTTTTCTCTTGGTTGGGACTTCGGTGACTGCCTATGGACTCCTGTCCCTTTCCAGTCTCCACAGCCCAGGAAAGACCCTGATGCATGTGGTATGGGCTCAGTCCTGGTGAGGAGATGGGGAGGAGTTGGGGCTCATGGCACACAAGGGCAGGCTGAGGCAACTGCCTTGGGTCATGAGGCTGGGGAGGCACTGGAGCAGGTGGCCCACAGAAGATGTGGATGCCCCATCCCTGTAAACCTGATTCAAGATCAGGTTGGCTGGGGCTTTGAACAGTCGGGTCTAGTGGAAGATACATGTCAGCCTCACCCCCATGTTCAGCCAGGCCCTTAAATCATCCCCCAGTATTTTCAAGGAAATGAGAATGCGCTGATCCATGAGGCGCAAACCCCAGAGCACTGGACAGGCATCCCACTGCACCTGCCGTGACACTTTGCTTTGATGTAACAGCTGGATTCCTCTGGTCTGCACCAGCTCCAGGCTGGCTCCGGGGCACCAGCTGAGGTGGGTGCCAGCCCAGGGCCACCCCCACAGAACTGTACACATCTGGCCCCTCACACCAGTGTGCACTGACAGAGACAGGGTAAGTAGGGGTGCACACCAGTGCCACCCACAGCAGCTGGGGCAACCCAGGGGAAGGGCCTGTGCCACATCCAGAGCCACCACCCAGCCCCGCTTCACACCCCAGCCCAACCAACACAGCCCTCAGAGCCAGTCTGTGTCCCCGAGTTAAGGGTCTGGCCCACAGACTGACTCCCCTCCCTGACCTTCTCCCAACGTGCCAGGTGCAATCGTTCCAAACGTACCAATAATCCACGTAATCTGGGGATTCCATCTGCCAGGTATCACTGCAGGAAAGTGAATTTGTGTTGATCAGAAGCTCCTGGTGAGGGCTATCATCCTGCCAAGCTGCCACTCCAGGTTAGAGCTGCCCAGTCCTCTTGGCACAGCAGTATTGCGTGTTCTTTGGATAACTCTGCTGTACCAGACATTTTCTGCCAATTTTACAATACCTCGGCCAAGGGTGTCCCTTTTGCAGTGCTGGGTCTATTTGCCATTGTTTCAAGCACTGAGAGGGACTTTAACCCCCATTTTACATGAAAAAAGGGACTTGAATTCCCCCTCTATGTGTGCCCTACAAGGGACTCAAACTGTACCAGGGACTTCAAACTCAGGCACCTTTAAGGGATTATAATACCCTGCAGGATTTTCAAAATCTTGAGCAAAATGCTTCACCACAGGGCAGAGCAGAGTCAAACGCACCCTTATAATTTATGCTAAATCTCACAGAGAATTTTAACTCACCCTTTGGCTCCTCTCTGCTCTGAGGCGCTCAAGTGAACTCAGAGGGAGCAGTTGGATGTTTGGAGAAGGGAGACTCTGAAGGTGGTAGCCTAGGGTGCCATCTGGATTGCCAAACTGTGAAAGAAACTCTCCTGTCTGACTGTTCTGGAGCCACTCTGACAGTCACACTCCCACCACCCGAGACTTTAACTGCTGAAACCAAAGCCCCCTCGCAGAGGGTGGTTCTAGTGAACCAGTGACCTGTTTTACTCCCTACACACAGCACACTTACACAGACAGGTTTCCCTCACCGGTTCAACCCTAGTTTTCCCATAGCAGACTGTCTGGTTCCTTTCAGTAATTTAATTGTGTGCAGGGATGTAAGAACTGCTCAAGCTGAGTGCCTCTGGAATTCCCTGGCTTTCGTACCCTTACAGTCTGTGCACCTGTTCTCCTCACATGCCCCTCACCCCCCTTACACGTGCCTCTTGGTCCAATGGTGATATTTGGTCTGGGGTCTTCTCATTGTTCATTGGGTTCTACAGCGTTTCTGGGTGACCAGCCACCACCCAGGTGACCAGTGCTGCAGGTCCAGCTTGCCCTTTGTTGGGCAAAGGGTCAGCAGCCATTCAGGCCTCACACACCCAACCACCT